GAGAGATACAGATTTATAATAAGGATGTATTTTAAAGAAGAATGTGTAGGCCGGAGTGGATATGTCAGTGCTCCATAGTAATATCACTTGTCAAAAGTCTGAACCTATAACTGCAAATAAGTGAGGAAATTCACAAATCATAGAGGAACAAAGCATAATACAGTTTGGCTTCCATTTCAACTTTCAAGCCATTTTTTTGATTTGTATCACAAGCCCACTGCTGTCTGTTGAATCATATTATGAGCCGGGCCCAGCTGAAATCAGAATAGTTCTCAGACTCTGAGGTAAAATAAAAGGCATATGTAACTGTTAATGACTGCAGTGAGACATATTTAGGCCAGTTTGTTCATTTTCCATTTTCCCAGTCTACACTAAACAAGCAGTCAGAGCCCCTCTGTGTCTATGGGCATCTTTACAGCCAAGTCGCAGCCAGGCCTTAGCCCGCACCCCACTCCCTCCACCCCACCTACCCACCCGGAGATAGTGTTTCTGCTTAGACATCTGTCCAGGGTTGGCAGTTGCAGATGTTGTTGACGGCTGTGAAGCTGAGAGGAAGTTCCAGCCACTCCAAAGTCCAAATGTTTTTTTTTTCATTTCCCTGTTTTGGTTTGTTTTGTTTTTTTTCGGATCTGAAAGAAGAAGAGGAGGTATTCCTTTGGGAATTATAGGAACCAGATTTGTGTGGCTCTCTTTTCTTAGAGCACAGAAAAACCTTATGTGTATGGATTTTCGTATCTTCTAAAAGGATGATCTTGTGTTATTTGGGGATTCCTCTGTACTTTGATTACAGTGAGGGTGTAGTAAATAATCTAAGTGGGTGACTCATAGCATAGGCCGATGCACAGCTGAGTGAAACTGAGACCTCCTGTGAGCCTGGGAATTGATGCCAGTCTGCACTAAGTATGTGCAATGTGGAAGCATATTTCCTGATTTATGCGTTACTCTGAGACGGTTACCAAGGATAGAGACGGAAATTCAGAGGCATTGTTGTATTTCTGAACAACCCATGTGTTCTTAAAGCCTTCTTTATTCAACTTCTTTAACTAGTTTCATAAGTGAAAGGAGAGAAAGTACGTTTTAGAATCCTCAGACAAGCACAGATGATGGCTGCATAACAAAGCCTTGTTTATCCAGTTGGTTATTGTCTTTTAGTCTTGGAATCATGAATGTTTTTTGCTTTAAGCTGCTGTTGTTGTTCATATTTGTGTCTTTCCTCTCTCATTGCTGTAGTTTCTTAGTGTCCTGAATTCATTACTGAAAACATTACAGCATCAGAAAAAGATTTATTTTTTTCTTTCCCTTTTTTCTCAAGGCCATGGCAACTTGCAAAAGCCTGCAGAGGATTTAAGATGCTCTCGATTGTTCGGTGCTCTTCTTCTCCAGTACAGTGCTGCAGTATCATAGCCCTTTAATCCTACTTGTCTGCTCTGCTCTTTGGACCTCCAGCACACAGCTGGCCAGCCAGCCAGACAGCACTGATAATTTAGAGGTCCCAATCCCTAAAACTTTGAGGTCAACAGTAACTAATACACTTAAGACCTGCTGATGGCCCATGTTTCTGACAAATTGAGCTCGATACGTCAAATGTAATATATTGGGCTGCATTTTGAGTGACTCATCTCTGCTCAGTTGAAAACTGATGCAGTTGGGCGATCAAGGCCAGGCTGTCAAGTTTTCCCACGATCAGGGGACTTGTCTGGTCCAAGAAAGCCTCCTCAAAAATGTCTCACCTTGTTGCATAGTGTAATAGTTTCTACAAACAATCTCCATTTGCTTATTTTTCCACCTAATCTACAAGCAGAATACTTTTCTACCTCATAAAATCTTTCTTTGATACAATTTTGAAATCATTTTAGTTTTTGCGTAATTGCCAACCATCTTAATGATGATTATGTCCTATTAGCTGAATGAGAGGTAATTATTATCAGTGCTCACAGAATCCCTTAATGACACTCAGTAGTGTTTTATATGCGGTAATCATAGACAACAAATATATAATTTATGCCATTAGTGAAGAGTATTATACTACAAAGCTGAAATTTCTCCTCTGAGTACATCTGTCTATCTGGGCATCTCCCTTGAGGTGGATGTGCATCTCTTGAGCATAGATTGGTTGTTTTCAACTGAGTCATACTTTAAAGCTAAGCATGACAGTATTACACCCAAACAGTGGAGACGAGATGTTCTGACAAAGCGAGTCGTGGGACAGGATGTGGACCCGAGAAGTTCCTGTGTAATCGCTGCAGAGATCTCACACACCGTTCCAACTCTGTAAATGCTTTTGTGAGCCTCTGTGTGCTGCTCCTCACAGCTGAGAATGCAAACTGCTCTCAAATGGAGGTTGAGAATCTAATTGAGTAAGACAAGGGTTTACGATCTCAAGTATCAACCATAGCAACTCTTGAACTCTGGTAATTTTGCACTTACATACACTAGTTGAACAGTGAAGACATCATCATGCTTGAGTTTACACACACACACACACACACTGTAGGTACACATGCATATGACTGCAGACAGATGAGCAGTTGGCAGCGCCGTGTTTGATTCCTAACAAGAGAACAGTGTGATGAAGTGTGGGGATAAGGCTGAATCACTATAGATGTCTGCCATGAAAAAAACCTGTAACAGCTGGCTGTGCGTTTGGTTTCTCACTATTCTCACTGAACTGACTGATGGAGAATTGTTGGCATGGATTTGGTCTCTTTGGGATGTTGCCTACTTCAAGTATGTACTATATTTGCATCAAAGGAATAGCTTGACATGACAGGAAATGCGCTTATTTTCTTGGACCAGAAGACGCTTAGCTTAGACTAGGCATGTCACAATACCAGAAATGTAGTAATACTGTACTGTACAGGAGGTGCACCGTCAGGTCGGAAGAAACTGGTTTCCCGGTACCTTTGGTACTTACAGTACTACAGAAAAACAAGTACCGTCATGTTTTCAAAACACTGGCATCAACTTGGTATTGAAATATCGGTTCTCGTGACATCCCAAGCTTAGATAAAGCCAAGCTAGCTGTTCCACCTGCTCTTAGTTTTTAATGCTAAGCTAAGCTAACTGGCTGCTGGCTAAAGCTTTATATTTAGCGCACACGAGTAGTATCGATCTTCTATTGTCACTCTCTGCAAGCAAGCAAATAATCGGATTTCGCAACGTGTCGAACTGTTCCTTTAACTGTATGATTACCGTTAGTACTAGCCCTCCGGGTTAATGTCCTAATTGATCAGGAATGTTTTATGGGTCATCAAACATTATGATTCATTTGACCCAACTCTAACAGTCTCCTGGTATATTAAGAGTCTAGCTTGCTCAGCCTGGATACATGTCTACGCTTAAAACGTCCTGGTTGTCTGATCGGGTGAGTCAGGCAGGCTTCTTACACTAATAGCTTCCATCGGGCCGGCTGGGCCTGGCGCATTATGGCGATGAGGCGGCAGATTTTGTGGTGAAACTGGCAAAGTCTCTTAGATGATGAGGCAAGCCGGTGGGTAACATGGAGGGGGGGGGCTTAACTGAACCTTTGGGGCCTGTCACTAACTCAGAACATCAAAGCAAAGGTTGGACTGGGGGTTAGGAGGCAGTGTGGGACTCTGGGATTGGAAGGGTTAGGGGGCAACAAACATCATCTGTAATTGAGGTTTGTGAGGTTTGGGTTTTTCTGCAGGCTTGCATATTCTCCCTTAAATTTTTAATGTCTGTTGAGCATGTCCCAGCCAGTCCCAGGACCAAGTGCAGCTGGAGGAAGGCTAAGCTGGAGACTGAGACCTCACGTAACATCACAGAGAAAGCACACAAAGACAACATACATGTGAAACCTGCCAGACAGAAGGCATAGAAAGAGGCCTGTGTTTAGTCCAAGGCTGTGAAATGGGGAAAAATATAAATGAGACCATGCTGTCAGTTCATGTAGGAATGCATTATGTTTTTTTTTTTTTAAAAAGAACCCCCCCACCCCCCCAAAGACATGTACTATTGGAACGCTCCAGGCTTTACTGGAGGGTAGTAATGTGGTCTCTGACCTCCAATCAAAACGACAATGCGAGCACAAAGCTGAGTGAATGTTTCCCTTCATTCATCTTTGTCTGTGTCTGTGTTGACAGGATGATTGTATGTTAATTTGTGTGTCTGTTGTCACATGGGAGTTATGATATCCAAATTAACAGCAGTGTTCTGCTAATCCTAGAGCATGTGTATGTATGTGTGTGAACTTGTACAATTACACACACACACACACACATGGGCACACGCTATCCTGTGTGTGGTTGCAGTCTATCTATAGGAATAGCCTCAACAAACTATAGGAATACCCAACAACACTCCAGCTGCGCTGTGCTGCTCTGTAATTAGTGCGTCGAAACCGCAAAGCTCCAATGTCGCCTGGCTGACATTCAGCGCTGTGGGAGATTAAGATTCTGCGATGTCTCGCTCTCCTTACTCTGCCAACTCCTTTTTCTTTCTTTGTCTAAATGTGACTAAATGTCACTGAGATGAAATGAATCAAAATAAAAATCAATCCTAACTAGCTTATCGTGTTATGGATCCCTGGGAAAAAAATCTTGTAAAAATATAATTGAATTGAATGGACCATAAAGTTCCTCTCCAACTTGATGAAACAGAGGGTGGGATGAGAAGCTGGACTAAAATGTTTATTTTCATCACTCAGATACCACCACATGACTCTTGCCTTGCCGCAAAGTTACTTGGTGTGTTTGTGTGACACCATGCTTGTACACACTCATGGCTGTAATCAATAAAAGAACATAAACACATCTGATAGGACATAAATGAGGCTTTCTGTTATTTGTTTTTATTTGGTTCTTGTTTCCAGTGGTGTGTACTGTAGATTGTTGCTTTTTAAACCCAGATGGATGAAGCTGACGAGGGGGGTGTTATTCCAAACTATCGCACTTCTATGTGATGGATTGACTGACGATAAGATTGAGAATGGACTGAAAATGTCAGTTGGGGTTGACTGTTCTTCTGTCCTGTCCCAGGTGCTGCGTGGGGCTCAGCTCATAGCGGTGGCGTCAGCTGATGGCGGGGCCACAGCGGTGGAGGGTTCCCCCCTCCCCCCTGACATCCAAGTGCAGTATGTCCAACTAGCACCCGTCGCAGATCACACAGCTGCCGTACAGGTAAAACAACACACACACACAAAAACACAAACTCTTCCAGGCCTTGTACACGTGTACACAAACACAGATTGTTTGTAACTGGGTAGCATTCCAAGTGCTGGAGTCTGAGGTGAAACAGACCCTAGTACTAATCTAAATCAGTCCCACTACACATGTGTTTGTGTTTTAACCAATCCATAATAAATAACTGCTTTTCCCCACCTCTTTTCCTCAATCTGATGTACGTATCAGTAATCAGGCCTTCAGTGAAGCCATTAATCTGTGCTGTATACTCAGAACTAGGCCAGAAGATTGCCTGTTTTAGTTCTCTGACTTGTAGAAGTAATGGTGATTGAACTCAGTGCTTTAATTTCTAACCAGGACAGTCTTCTTTTTAGCCAAAACAATTAGCCAAAAAAAGTGCAAAGAAGTTGAAGGACCAGTTAATCTTTGTCTTTGGTCAATTTTACTAAAATATGTGAGTAAGGTTGTGTTTTGACCTGTCACCTACACATATTTCAGTTTTCAACACTATACATCCATCCAATTGGAACAGTGGATCATTGTGCTTGTGTTGAGGCCCCAAAAACCTTTTTTTTGTTATTGTTATGTTATAAGGTGCTGCAGTGTATGTTATAGAATTATGTGCGAATAGTTTAATCTAAAAAGAATTGTGACATAAAAAAAAGTGGAAATTCATGCTTTGTTAAAAGAGTAACAAAATCATTTATGTCTAATGTCTACCTAAAGATTTAAACAGAACTGATATTTTCTGTCCTTTATCATATATTTGTCAATTTTAGAAATCCATAGATGTCTTCTTCCTTTGTGTATTTTATTTCTTTTCTTCTTTTTCCCCCTTCTTTTAGAAATTAGGAGCTGACTAGCAGCCAAAGTGTCTGTTTATTAGTGCTGAAATCTGTCTTCTTTCGTGCTGTAATGATTCGATCAACTTCATAACGATGCAGAATATATCCTGTAATATTTCATTCATAATTACTGTAATGTTGAAATAGAAATAGGAGTGCAGTTAAGCTAAATTACTTACAGGTACAATGGGTCTGCTTTTCCCCATGTTGTCATCATTTTACTTAAATAAAGTGCACCTAGCTTTCAGTCATTATGACGGGTGTTTGAACAAACAGTAATTTAACATAATAAAGTTGAGTGGATTGAGTGTTATAAGGTGAAGAGTAGTGATTAGTAGATACCGCTAAAATCCCTTGATGATTCAGACCGTTGAGCAACATCCACATGTGGAATCAGGATGTTGCACAGGCCCATGGCACTGTGGCCTTTGAAGTGGTCAGTTTAACCCTGCAAGAAATATAAAAGAACAGCACTTTTCAATTGTTCTCTCTGCTTTTTGTTTTCCCCAAATATGTTAAATATCACGTTTTCTCCCTACTGCTTCTTTCCCTCAAGTGCCATGCTCAAATTGTCTGGGCACCGTCTAGTCCTGATGTGAGTCTTTGTTGCGTTGTTATAGTATAAACAGAGAGAACTTCAAATGATTTATGGCTGTGTAAAATACCAGTCCTCTCCTGATATGGATCCCCCTGCAGACTTTGTAGTGGGCTTGATCATATTTGCCTCCCTGCAACACATGCAGAGAGCAAATGTGATGACCAGCCACGTATCAGGTTTTTTTTATTACCTAGTTGAAATTTTGTCCTCTGAGTAAGACCCAGTCTTGTTGTCCTTTTTGTTGTCTGTAGTTGTCTAGTTGGTAATTGCTTCCTTGACACTGTGAGCATAGAGGTGATTAAAGCATCCGATATTTAAAATATTTTTGGGTGTGGATCATACATGGTTGCCACTCCATGCACTTTATTCCAAGGTCTGTGGTCCATGTTGTATGGCACAGCAAGCAGCAATCAAACTGTTTGTTTACTGAACTGATTTGTTTGAATAGATTTTTTAGCATATTTTTTCCTAATGTTTGATCTTGACAGAAATTTAACCAAGTTGGCAGAGGTCTGATTAGTCATCAGTTTTCTGTTGAGTAGAGTTTGGGGTTAGTTAGGGCGCATGGACAGAGTGAAACCACTTGTTAACAATGTGGTGTTTATTGATCAAACAATATTTAAAAAGCAGATTTTTATTAGAATTCAGTCCCAAAATAATGCAGCTGTGGGTGGCTGTAATCACAATGTTGGCAGCTCCTCCCTCTGCATGTCGAAGTGTCCTTGGACAAGATACTGAACCTCAAATTGCTCCCCATGCTGTACCATCAGTGTGTGTGAATGGGATTAGTTATACTTTGCATGGGAGCTTCTGCAGTGTGTGAATGTTGCATGTAGTGTAAAGCCCATTTAGGTTTTAATGCGCCAAGAAAATTGGTTGGGGCTAAGATACATCCAGTATGTTCAAGTAGATTCTTCTTTACAGAATACCAACCTGCCTAGAACTACCTAACTAATAATCAATCACAGGACAAAATATGTAATGCATGCAATTAAAACACGGCGCCGCAAAGAAAGTAAAAGACACAGAGTGGCATTGACCAACTGCAACCGCAAATAAAAACTCTGTTGTAAAGACACCTAGATACTTGGCTTGGCCTGTCAGGGTGATACAGGGTGGGTTATTATCACAGTTGGGTTTTGATGTCCGAGAGTGTAAACATTGCTGACTTTCAGTTCAAAGTTGAGAGGAAGGTTAGCGCTGTTCTTTTCCCCCCTTTCTGAAAAGTGTTGAATCGAGAGAATTGCTCTCATCTGTTTCCAGACATATGGTAGCATTTATACAAGTTCTTGAAAAGTTTCTTAGGCTTTTGTATTTATTTATCTCTGCATTTTTCCTCTCTCTTTATTTAATAGTTTCCATTACACAAACTGGATGAAGTAGGGGACAACACAAAGTGATACTTTTGCACTCCAATGGGGCATTTCTGCAAATTGGTGATAATCTGTGGCTTAATCTTGATGTGTTATCTCCAGCTCAGGTCTAAAGCTGGGACTACAGAGCACCAAGAGCCCAGTTTAAGCACACTTACTATAAAACAAAACAGCTTCTGATACTTATAATTCAAAGCATTATCCATCAGTATTTCTAAAGGGAGAACGAAACCAGCACTCAACAGTTCAACATGTCCAGTGTTTCAAATGTTCAGTGAAAAACATGGATCCATATGAGCTTTACTTGGCCTCTTTACTGCTGGTAGTTACAGTGTGTCAGCGGCATGTGTTGTTACATTGTGCTGCTGTGGTGCAGCTGTGCTCCAGTCAGTACTGTTGTCTAGTGACAGCATGCTGGGCTGGAGGGAGGATTAAATGCTGCAGGTGTGTTTGAGGAAACCTTTGGCGTGCATTCGAGGAAGGAGTGAGTCACTCTTCATGGTCATCATCCAGGACTGAGTCATGAACCTCTCATCTTTTCAAGGGGGTTTTACCCACACAATACCGCGCTCTGTCTGACAGCGACCAGAGAGACAGTCAGGGAGCATTAAAATACAAATAGCTCATCTCTTGTCAAGTCTCTCTCCACCTGTCACTCTGTTTCTTTTCTTCCTATCTCAGTCCTCTTTCTTCTCTCAGATATATCTCTTCTCTAATCTCCCTCGTCATTCCTCTGCTCCTTCTATCTTTGGTCCTTTCACTGTGGTTGTCTCTCACAGTGACACGGGAGTAGGGACTGCAATATGGCTTGGTCTGCATCTGTTTGTTTCCAGGAGAGACACTTTTAAAAAAACACACGGATTAGCTCAAGCAGTATGCGACATAATTAGTGAATGTTTCACATGTAAGATCTTGCCGTCTTCCCATTCATCACCTCTTCCCTCTCCTCTCTTTCATGTGCACCAGGCTGCTGAGCTTGCCCCGGCCCTGCAGACGGACATGGAGGTGAAAGAGGCCATCCAGGGTGCCATGCAGGGAGAGAACGGCGAGGTCGTCCAGATTGTCACCTCTGTTGCCACCTGAGAGCCCCGTCTGGTTCAACACAACCCAGAACTCTGCTCTATCTACAGCACGACCTGATGAGTCTCACTGGAACAACATTTGAGGTCAACAAATGCCTGACGAGCAATCAAGTCGGAAAGCCTTTTTAACAAATACTGAAGGTCACTGAAACACAGGGAAGAAGCATTTTATCGTTTTTTTGTGTGTGCTGTTTTCCCCTACAAACTCCTCAATTCATTGCCAACCAGATGTCTCAATGTGGAAATGTTCACAGAGAACTTGAAAAGACTATGATACTCCAAAATCAACTGTGGTCTTTCTGGTGTTTTCATCACCAGAAGGACCTGGCCCACCGCAGAATACACAGTGGGATTATCGTCTATCCAGGGAGGATGCTGCTTATGCAGACCATCACCCTGCCACTTCATCAGCACACGCGCTTGTTTACATCAACTTTGGAAAATAGCGGAGTTATTTGGAGTTACGCTGCTTGGCTAACCCTGAAAACCCCCATGAGGGTTTGTAAAACCCCTGAATCCCACCTCAAACAACCAGTACTGCGCTCGTTTTCTCGTCATTACTTGTCATGGTGGACAGCAACGGAAAGTAGATTTAGCTGAGGACAGCTACTCTTGGTTGTGATTAATTTTGTTTCCTGTCACTCTCCATGATACAGTCCATACTATGTCTCCCGGCTGTGAGCCCTGCCTTCCTTTATTTCACTCAGCTTGTTTTCATATTGCTTTAGCCGCACAGCTTTGTTTATTTGTTTGATTTATCTAATTGTAACATGCCGACATTTTTTGGGGAGCTTTAATTTTGGAGGTAGAAGACCATGAAATAGAAGAGATGGTGCCAGTGGTAGACAGTACAAGTGGCTTGTAGAATACCGAGGAAACCTTGAAGTTGTTTTTTTCTCCCAGTTTTTTCTCTGTGAAAGATACATTCATGTGAATAAAACATGTTTGTGGTTGCCATAAAAGTGTGTTTTTATTATGTTTGTTTGTTTTTTTTTTTTTTCTGTATTTTCTCTTTATGTCCATCAACCATGGTCATCAAAATGGCTTCAAAGATTTCCGAGACATGACGTTGCTTTCATCCACTACAAATAGACAATTGAAGAGAGCATGAAATAATAGTTTGGTTTTGAGGTCTTGTTTCATGTTGAGCTAATTTATTTACTATTTTTGAAGAAAATATGTATCATGTCAACTTCACTAACCATAGGATTATGCTACTGTATTGTCAGCAATCCTGACTGTCTTTTGACTTTTTGTCAAAAGACTGTAATTAATATGTTGGGCTCATTGTAACAGTTTATGAACTGTAATTACATTTCTTTAAAATCCCACTTGTGCTCACTGCATGGTTATGTTTTTCACAGACAGAGAATGTGTTGTTGTGTTAGAGTGATGCTCCGCTAATGATGAATATCTCTGCAGTCAGCAATAAAAGCGATAAGCGATACACTCTAAGGCTGTGTGTTGGTTTGGGGAAGTTTCCCATGCTCAGTGTGATGTAATAGTGTATTTTGGAGTGTAGGAAAGAACCAGGCGACAAAATGAACTTGATAAAACAACATCCACGGTCTTGGCTGCTTCCTCTTGTTTCCTTTCGGTCTGTTGTTGCTGTCTCTGACCCCTTTTACACTGCTCCTTCATCTTGTCCATTCTGCTCACCGCCTCTCCTACGTAGTCCTCTTCTCCCACTCAACTTGTGTTTTCCTCTGTCTCCTTTGGAAACAGCATTAAAGTCAATTTACTCCTCCGTAAAATGATACACTAAGCTGAGCTAAACTAGTGGGATATACTGGTGGGCCCATTCCTTCTGAAATAATCATAGCCAAGTTCAAATGTTGGCTTAGACAACTGTCTCCCCCCCCAGTGAACCCTCCATTAACCATGGGCTTGTAAGGGAACAGAACCTGCTCCAAACGGCCTTCTTTTCTTCACTTTTACAACTTTGGGCTCCATCCAGGAGCTGGAGTGGTTACCATAGTGATGGGCTCTCTCTCAGGCTACCCCCTAAGATAACCTGCTGAAAACAGAAATGAATGATAGATGGAGAGATGAGATTGTTTGGAAGCAGAATGCATGCTTGGGGGGAAGGAGTGGAGTGATAGACTGAGACCAAAAGACGTGTTTTTTCCCCTTCCTTCTCTCAGCAGCTCTGTGTTCTCCAGCAGTGACGCAGCTCTGCTACAACACGCAAGTACCAACCTCTGCTGCTCGCCTGGCTTTTGCATTGACTGCCTATCTTCCCCCGCTCAAACTTTTTACAAGGCCGGCGTAGTTATCTCAGGATGTGTAAAGTTGAGTGAACATGTTTGTTGGAGCAAAAATGTCCAAACATGATGTTTCTCCAGGATCATAAATCAGCAATTGTTAATCTTAGGGAAACAAAGTCTCCCACTGCCAGGATTTATCTTTCTCGCGCCAATGGACAAATTACACTGGAGCATTCATGTCATGGTTTACAGCGTATACAATTTTTTTTTTATTTATTTCTCACTTACTGAAGAAGGTCACGAGAAAGGCATGCAAACTTTGCCTGTAGAAACATCTCTGTCTTTTTATTGTTTACTTTTGCATGCGAGCAGTGTTTAACTTTATAGACATTAAATTATGGGGGTTCAACAGCAGCATAGTCAGTAATTTAACTACCTTTTTGGTTTTGTTCTTGATCATTTTTGGCTTTTTGCTTTGCATATATATATTATATATTACTCTGTTAAGTTCTCCTTTGTTTTTGTTTTTTACATCAGTAAATATCTAAATATCAGCAGTACAAATAATATAATAGAGAGTTAGGGAGGGTGATCCAGGAAGTCCTCTAAGAATGGAAGGAAGAATACTTATTATTAATTATTCCAAGAATACAGTTTGGTTTAGATTTTACTGGAAGATGTATTTATTCCAAATCTAGAAACCAGGCAACTGACATTTAAATGTATTGATATCTATTTATTTGATTTAACTCACAACTGAGACTGATATTGTGAATCTGACAAAGTTCCTCTTTTTACAGAGCAGCTTGACACAACAACATAATGTGGTAGAAGTACATGTAAATACTGCACACTGTGCTGAGGTACATTTTTTCACCCCTGCCACTCACCTGAAGGAAAAACTAAAAAGGGCACCAGCTGCATGCAGTGCACAAAGTCATGATGCATTTATGGTGAAACAGTACCAAATCCTTGTTAAGATTAAATTTGTTTTATAATGTGACTCAGATTTAAAGTATAACTACAACACATTTGTAATAAAAATACTATTTAACCATTTAGAGGCACTGCATGTAGGGCAGCCTATATGGCACTGCATCATGTTTTCTGTTCGTCCACTGGAGAGCACATTTTATCTACTATAAAGGCATCCATTAGAGCACTTTGCTGTGTTTTTTTTAAACACAGGGGCACCATGGGGGTGATCATGTTCAGCAGTGCTGTAACGGAGTAGTACATAGATATATGTACTATAGTGAAGTATAACTATTATACAGTAACTTTTAAAACCCAAATATTATAAAATGACAATAGACTACTTAAGCAAAGTAAAATAAAGTATACTTACCTCTGGTAATAATAATAACTAATTTGTAAACCTACTTAGTTTATTGCTTTAATGCATCAGTTAGTTTTCTTAAGTTGTCTGGTGTTTTCAGTTATATTCACCTAATAATGTCAACCACACATGTTCACAAAGCATGTAAGCTCCATTTAGTTTGTTCTAAGGGACCAGTGTGGAGGGTTCAGTCCCATCTAGTGGTGAAGTTTCAGATTGCAACTATTTGAATACAGCTCAACCTTGCAAGCGTGTAGGAGAAACTACGATGTCTGTGAAACTTGCAAAAAATGTGAAAGGCCTTATCTAGAGCCAGTGTTTAGTTTGTCAGTTATGGGCTACTGTAGAAACATGGCAGCCTTCATGGAAGAGGACTGGCTCCCTCTGTAGATAAAACCAGCTCATTCTAAGGTAATGAAAACACAGCAATTCTTATTTTCAGGTGATTATACACTAATGAAAACATATTATGAATATTAATATTATATGAATATTATCAGTGTTGGGAAGTATAGCTTTACATGCTACTACAGCAAAGTTAGCCAAGGTAGAAACGTAAGGAAACTTAGGAAAAGTAGTTCAAACTACTTTGGAAAAAAAAGATAAAATTGTATAATTATTATAACAAAATACAACTCAAACATAAACTAAAACAATGCTATTCATGGGAAAAGTGCAAGCATATTGTAGCTCACAAGTAAAAACACACATTTTGCCAATGGAGCTATTTAGTGTCATGTATTTGCTTCAGTATGGCCAGGTTGATTCTTCCTCAGGTTTAGATTTGGGAGGTTTATCCATGATGATGCTGTCACCGTACGAGCACTGAGCAACACACACCCTTTTGCACTATATGAAGGTCAAGTGTGTGGTGGTGGTTGCCTGGTCGATTCATTGCCTGAGCTTCACTACAGTCAGGATGAAAGCAAAGGGGTACAGGGCTGGTCAAATCAGAATCAGAAATGGGGCTTTTTTATTGCCAAGTAGGTTTTCACAAACGAGGAAACTGTCTTAGTATATTGGTGCATAACAATAAACATAGAAAAATATAAATGAAGATTAAATAGAGACAATAAAGATATACAATATAAATAAATGAATGAAGAGCTGTACAGTTTATGCAGTAATGTGCAAAATATTATCCTGGGAATGTGCAAGTTTGTAGTATGACACATAAAAGAAATTTGCAATGTGCAAGTTCAATTAAAGTAGAGAAGCAACGGTAAAATAAAAACTCCTTTTAAGGCCCAATATGGTTTGTATTATCCACAAAAAAAGGCACAAAAAAAAGGTAATTTAACTTGATTCACTACTCGAACATGAATGAAACTGAGCTACCAGCAAGATACTACATAATTTATTTAAACTGCTAATTTAATCTCATATATTTCACTGCTCCCCAGCGCATATAATATTTCATTTCTGCCAACAGATCCTCCTTTAATGTTACACACTGGACCTTTAACTGAAGCTTCAAAGATATCATAATTCAGTCCTAACCAGCAGTGGACTCCTTTCATGAGAAGTAGTGTAAACTGTGAGAAGTGGGTGCGCTGAGCACAGCTGAAGCTGCGTGGATGGGAGGTACTCCTGCAAGTTAAGGGGCCAGATGTGTGAGAGGAGGGGTACCAACTCATCCAGACAACGGCTACAAAATGCTTCCTGGTCAAAGAGTTTGTTAAAAAACAAACTGCACAAGTTGAAAGCTTCGACCTCCGACTGAACGCCTCTAATCTCAGCGTCGAAGGTAAGTGGACATTTTACTGGCCGCCTGCGTTGTTAATTGAAATGCGCTTTACGTCGATGAACTAAAGGTGAACTAAAGACGTGATGACGTGAGTGGGGGGGCGGGGGGGGGTAACTGCCTTTGACGGGCTCACCAGGTGCTTTCTGACGTCCCCTCTCTCGTTGTCATTTTTTCTTATAGTTGGACCGCCGGTATTCACATTAAAGCAAACCCAGTCCATTAGCTGTGGTAGACTTTGCGCAGTTATGTGCCTCAGCTGGCAGCTTACCAAATGTCTTAAAGTGAAGAGGGAAGCAAGTGCATCATGCCAACGATCCCCCTTTAACTGTGTAGTAAAATATAAAAGAAGGGTGTGAAGATTTCAGAAAAGCACTTTATAATGAAAGCACTAAACATAAGCTACTTAAGTAATGCTTTAACTGGTGCATGACTCATGGTGATTTAATGCATTAATAGATACAGGATGTATCATGAATTCCTGCTGCTTACCACTAACAAATGATCAATTCAATACGACTTTACGTGACTAGTTCACACTTAATAGATCATCAGTTAAGGGATGTTAATTCACAGTTATTTCATACATTAAGAGATCAAGTTAGCTGTGTTTCAGTTACATAAGACTTCATGTCAAACTATATTTTCTCAGCCTCTCTGAAAGCAGTAGGCTGTCATAAAAATATGAAGCTTTTTTGTATGAAACTGGCCATCAGCAACATTTACATAATAAATATAAATATAGTTACATACATTACCTGTTTACCACATAGAAATTAATGTATGAACTAATGATCTGTTCACATAAAGTCATTTATTAGTGGTGACCAACTGGAATTCCTTTTTACACCCTTAAAGCTGTGGTAGGTGACTTTTATGAAAATACCCTTTTCTCATATTGGCTGAAACTTTCACTATATCCTGACAGTAATTCATGAAACAGATCATCTCTGGAAAAATCTGGTTCCTCTGGCTCGTTCTAGTGCCTCTAATGGCATTTGCAAGGATCCACTAGGGCCCTGGACGAAAACAACCAATCAGAGTTGAGAAAGATGTAAAGACGCTTTGGGTTGGTGGCATAAAGATGGTTGATTGTTGAGTCTCATTCCCAGCGTCAGTATTTGACGACCTTGGAATGAGTCTCAACAAAAACCTTT